CCATCCTGTGCGAGGAAAAAAAGAAGGAAAGCCATGTATGTAGTGTGTTGTATTCTGGCACAGGAAATTGTGGTACAAAATGCCATCAGTGGAGAATGTGTGAATACCATAGGCGAAGAAAATAGCATCCCTGTTGCACCTCCCTGTATGTGATGTGCTTCTCTGCCTTGTGATGTTCACTGGTGACATCATGGTGATACCTTGGCTTTTGATTACCCTAGAGCAAAGCATCTGCTTGCTCTTAGTTAAAAAATACTAACTATCCAGGATGTATATGACACTAGATCTGTATTAGAATTTCTAATATTTATCATCATCAAAGTGTAACGGTGTTAAGTACTCCGCTGTAATTGACATTATTCAGTACACTTCCTTAGGAGTGTATGTTATACAAATAATAACACTTATAGAATCAAAAACTCTGGGAATGGGGCCCAGCAATCTGTGTTTTTAACAAACCATCCCAACTCCTCTTTTCTTCTCATTTTCTCCCATCTGGATTTCACCAATTTGTAGCACTATTAGAAATTCCAAAGTGTCTTTAAAGGACATCCCTTGATGTTTTATGCTGCCTGGCATCCTATGAAACTTCCCTTATACTGTAGGCCTGTATTTAGAATGAGAAGGCACTGCCCATGTTTGCTCTACTTTATTTGAAGTCAAGAAAAAAAATAAGGACATTTTCTTGCCCTTTAATAATTTTAAGTCTAGACCCTTTCAACACCTAGTAGCCATCTGAAATATTTTCATTTCTTCCTTCTTCAGTAACCAGGAAGGTTTTTAGTACTTTCTTTCATTCATTCAACAAATATTCCTTACATAATAAACTGTGACAAATATGGTACATTTTCCTTTACACATGTATTTTGAAATCAGCCCCAAGTACTCAGCATTTATTGACTCTGCTGTGCCTTTCTAGAAGGAAACCTGCTTATGAGGAGTCACATCTGTTTCCATTGCAAGACATCTATCAAACACCCATTTCCAATGGTTTCTTATTCAATAGCTTGAGTCAATTCCATGAAAGGCTTAAGAGACAGCTATACTGATACTCGAATTGGGAGATATAGTTGTGGGAAGACCTTGGCAATTAGAAAGTGCAACTTTGAAAAGGCTCAGTAGCCAGTGTGAGGATTGGATCAAGGAAGAAGTGGAAGCTATGGGTTAGGAGTTAAGGGGAGGCTCAGGCTCATCAACTGGTAAATTGGGAGGCACAGAAGAAGGAGTATGAGCCCTCGAGTCAGATATACTTGGACTTGAATCCTGACCCTGCTGCCTCCTAGCTGCACTAACTTGGGCAGGTTAGTTAACCTCCCTGCTTTCTCATTCTGTAAAATGGAGATGATAATAGAAGCTAGCTCATCGAGTTGTGGGGAGAATTACACGAAATAATCCACATTAAACCTTCAGTACTGTGCCTACCATTGAACAGGCACTCAACAGATGACGGCTCTTACTACCAGTAAGTATCCAAGACTCCAAGCAGATGCCAGTGCTGCCATACCCTTCCTCTCTGAGGTTTGTCTGAATTTCCAGTTTGGAGGGAAATGCCCTTGGTGGCGGTGGTGGCCTCTTCTTCCTCTCCTCAGAAGTTCACTGCCCCCACCCTGGTGAACTCAAGCAATGAAAATCAGCTCCCACCCCAGGAAAGATCAGGGACACCCTAAGAAGAGATGGTATAGAGCTGCCTGTGAATTAGAGAGGTCACCCTGATCCTCTGTGGATGCTGCAGTGTCAGTGGGGGGCAGGGGGCTGCAGTGGAAATTCCAGAGCTGAGAAGGCTGCCATCAACCAAGCGAGAAATGACCAGGCCCTGAGGTAAGTATGTAACATAGGAGGGGAGGAAGCACAGATTTGGGAAAAGGAGGGAAATAGAGAGTAAATTTGGCAAGAGATGAGTCTGGGATGGAAACATCACTCTTCCCGTGCATCCCAGCAGAGCTGCCACATGCGGGTCAGAGTCAGAGAAAAGAGGAAAAAGAAGGCAAAAGCAGAGCCTTATCACAACTGTGTGTATGATGGATGAGTCTAACAGGTAGTTCAGAGTGGAGAGAGAGAGCCGTCACATGGCTGGTGGGCTTAAACCTTCACAGTGCAGTGCTGTGGTGGTGGCAGATTAAATGCAAATTTGTTAGACTGGGTAAGTTTACTAAGTATTTATTACATGTAAATTCAATTTTGAAAACTTCATCTTTAAATAGAAAAAAAAAAAAGACAATTCCTAGACCTATTATGACTGTGGTTTCAGAATGTTTTTCCTGCTGGTGTAAAGTGTAAGGGGAAAAAATAGCCAAGTAGGAAAAAAAATGAACAGGATTCCAGTTCTCTTCTTCCCAGTGGGGAACGTCCGCTTTCCAAATACAGGGAGGAGAGGAGAGAAGAGCCGCCTGGGTTCTTTCCCAGCTCTGAGTCTCTTTTGGCTCCAGAATAGACTCCACTTTCCCCAAGCAGGCAGCCTTCAGTTCCAATATTTTTCTGAGAAATGTACAGTCTCGTGGGGGCTCTTTTGGGAGCTGCTTTAGCCCTAAAGAAACATCTAAGGGTAGCCTGATATGAATCACTAGCTTAGACTCAACAAGATTTGGAGGCCCTAGGAGGCAGGGCTTTCTTCTGGTCTCTGTCCCCACACTACCAAGCACAGTGTAGGTGGTCAGTAAAAGTTTCATTGACTGACTCAATTCCTGAAAGAAGGAGTCAATGCTAAACTTCACAGTAATCGATCAAAGATGTTAGAAAGAAGTGTTATTTATAGATTAAGACACTTAAAAGGCATATCAATTAATGCGATGTATGGACCCTGTTTGCATTTTTATTCAAACATTTAAAAAATGGAACAATTGTGTTTTCTCGCTTGTGAGAGGCCTGTTTATGCCTTTTGCCCAGTTTTTGGAGGTTGTCTTTTTCTTATGTATTTTTAGTTCTTTGTGCAGTGTGGATACTAATCATTTATAAATTATATATGACTCAACTCTCATGAAAGAATATCACATAAGGCTAAGCACATGGATACTGTGGTCAGACGTTTTGGGTTCAAATTCCAGTTCTGTCACTTATTGTGTGACTCTGGACAAATGATGCAACCTCTCTCTGCTTTAGTTTCCTCATCTGTAAAATGGGGGTGATAATGATACACAATAAGGTAGCAGGGGGCTAAATGAGTTAATGTATGTCCTACAGTCAGAACAGGGCACATAGAAGAGTATAATAAATGTTTGCTGTTATTAGCTTCTTCCATTATATAGCTCCCATGTCATTTTGATGCTCACTAGGCTCATCAAAGTGCTCATCTCACAGGTGGTCTCCTGCACCATACTACGACCCCAACCATAAATTGCTTCCCTGCAACCGTGTGTCACAACACACATTAATAACGGGGTGACTCCACTTTGTACAGACAGGGGCCCATAAAGTGATGCCTGCCCCTCGAAGGGTCTCTCCCCAAACTGGACAGATTAGTGCCAATAAGTCCTCTCCTTCACTTTAAAGACCCACAAACACTCTAAAGATATTTCACTCGACTTTGAGACCTAACAGTGTCATGATTTGTCCTGCAACGTTTTTAGTCCCTACTCATAATGGGACCCCTAGCACCTCACAGCGACCTATCCTTCTCCCAACCTCTCTCTGGGCCTCTTCCCCCAACGTGGGCCTTTCTTTGTGGACTAGTAAACGTGTGAAATGAGTACACCCAGGGGATCCTGAACTGAACGAATGAAGGCGGAAGGAATGAATGTGACGGCATTGTTAGGTAAAGGTGATGAATAGAGAAACGGAATGGACGGCCGAGCAGCGTGCTGATTGGCTGATCCCCAGAACGCGGCGGGTAGATAAGGGGACGTAGGCGAGGTTTTCTTCAGACACGACGGTGGCTGCCCAGCGGTCAGGTCGTGGTCCATGGACAGCAGCGCTGCCTAGGTTGCGGGTCAGAGGCGGGCGCGGCGTCTCATCGGGTCCCTCCCCGTCCCCGGGG